GCAGGGCTGAGGCCCAAGCAGTTTTCCTGCACAGACAAGACCAGAAGGGCCATCTGGCGAAGCCATTGCTGGCAGGAACCAGTCCTGCAGCTCCCTTGCAACTGCTGCCATCTTGTCCAACATGATCCTCCCTGTGTGTGCCCTCCACAGGACCCAGCACCTGCCAGACTTGCCTGCCTCCCCCCTTCACCCCCAGCAGTGGATTGCACAGCCCTTCACACAGGACAGTTTCAGAGCATGATGTGCACACCTCAAGGCATGCAGTTTGGGCTCAGGGGCTCCTGTTTCAGGAGAGCACTGCTGGCAGTGCTCCTGCCCAGCATCCTACCCCTAGCATTTTTGCTGCTCATGTGAGAAAGTTTGGGCTGGCCTGGTCGTGGCATTGAGGGGCTGGTGACACATCCTGTGACCGTGGGAGGGCTGTGTGCCTGTGACTTCTGCACTCATGCTCCTATGGGGGATGTTGAGGTGTGTGTGTGTGTGTGTGGCTGTTTGTGGCGACACTCCTTTGAGCCTGCCCCTACTGAGGCCACCACAGCAAGCTGAACATCATTACCAGCACCTTGACTAGTGCAAGCATCACTGGTCAGTGGCATGAAATAGGTACTTGGGCTTTGCTTGTGGTGGGAAGCATCCGCGTGTGGTGCCAAGAGGCGTCTGCAAGCCGAGAATTGTCATTCATAATAAAACTGCTCCTCAGTAGCACTGGCAGGAGTTTACAGAACACCCTCGGCATAGAAGGGACGGCTTGTGAGTGTGGAGACGGTGCCAGGGCTGGAGGCAATTCTGCCGGCAGCTCCCTGTGCTTTGCCCCCCGGCTGGGGGCTGCTGCCCCCCAAAAAAGGCTCAGCAGAAGTGACTCGGCTGCCGCTGCCAGAGGGGGCTGCGAGGGGAGTGTCCGCTGGTGGGGCAGGAGGCGTGTGGAGGATGAACTGGCCTGGACGGACAGTGACCTCTGGCGCAGAGAAGGGCGACAAGGGCCGGACGCAGCGGGGATGGGTGACACCCACGGCAGACAGGTTCATTTTCCTTTTCCACACCCCATCTTCTGCTGCTCTTGCCTGACGGGCGAACCGCGACTGCAGTATCTGCAGCTTGCCGAGTAAAAGTTGTTCCTCGAGCTGTTGATTACGGTTAATTAGCATTAATTTTGCCTTAAGTGGATCCTAGTTGCGCTCGTTTTCTCCAGGGTTGCGACTCCTCCGGTGCCCTGGGCCCGTGCTGGGTGGGTGGGCGGGCGCAGGCAGGAGGGAGGGGGCGGCCGGGGCGGCGGCGCCATCTTGTGGGCGAGGGCGCGGGTCGGCGG